GACATACAATTGAAAAGAATAGTATGATATATATACATGCATACTGGTATGTGTTTTGTGGTTCATAAACAAACAGTAACGTGTTGTTCTGCTTTACAGATTATGGTATTACTTGGTTATCATGTGCAAAGAACACAAAATATTTCAGGTTATTTGCAGTTCGCGGCAAGGAAAGTGTTGACAGTGGACATGTTTTCGATTACAGTTTTGTCGGAACATCGACTTTAAAGATGTATAGCGTGTGACTCTATCCTGCGAAAGAATCAGATTTCAATCATTCTTAAATACCCACATGACGTTTTGAATACGAAAATGGATAATATGTATAGTGTTTAGGAAATAAACGACACATGCATTAAAGCGACAAAAACCTTTCCATGTCTAATAGAAATCTCTGCATAAAGCAGAGTCGATTGTTCGATTCCGACTATATCATGAGCATGTGTTTATGAATCACTCTCAAATAGTAATGATACAAGGTGTTCGCAAGGGGTGAGCGTATCCTGCCCCATCGGTGACACCCGTCACAAACACATGCAAAGGCAAGTCAATTGTTAACCTGAAAAAAAACACGGGAACATATGGTACAAGCCGAAATAAGGAATTGCATCGGACATTATTTTGTCACTGATGCGCCAAATTTGGAAATGTCCTCCGCATGTCTACCATAAAACCTTTTGAAAGCTTTACTGAGGCTTTATCATGCTTCTGCCCTTAAATACAACTTAAGGTACTCATGTCTAGATTCGAAGAAGGGCATGGTTAATTAACAGTCGATATGACTTTGAACCATACATGCAGAACATGTTTTAAATCACATATGAGCAATACGCTAGACAGGATGTTCATTATTACCTTAATGCAACACATTATCATAATCAACTCTGTGCGATTTCCACTTTTGGTACGAGAAGGCCATTGTTAAACATTAAACAGCCAAACTATGAAGCATCTTTAAACCAGACTGCTTCAGCGCAAAGGCTAATTAGCCAGTTAAAAACGACGTTTGTAACATCGGAAAATAACGAAGAGAGGCTTTCGTGCAGGCTTGATTAAAACTGGACATCAACCACACGGGTAGACAATACGCCTGGCTTAATGATTAAGGAGGCTAACTTAAGAAATGCTTTGATCTATAATGTCCCTCTCTCACGCCTAAAACATCTTTGTCTGCTTATACAAACACATTTAATCTACGTCAAAATGGCCGCTTCGCGTTTACTACTGCGTGATTCCAGTGCTATAAACGTATTAAACTAAATTCGATGGATCATATTATGGATACCCAGTACTATGTATGTAGTTTATGTGATCAGACCGCCAGTTCTGATGAGTCATCCGAGTAAAATAAACACAGTTTAACCTGAGTTCGTATACACAGTTCGACTTTGCTTCAATTATAGAGATGAAATTAACGATAAACGTGACCTTTCCTAGACGCACAATGGAGTTATGTTTGCTTAATAAGATACCATTTAATAGAGTTAAACATGAAATCGGACTATCATGGCGTACAAATTGAAATGTGTGCGATAAAACATTATTTCATTCACAATTTCCTTTCAAACGTCTGACAAAAAGCAATTCAATCTCTGAATAGGATGATAGGTAATGGTTAGGTAATTTAACAGATGTATTTTTTATGTTGAACGGGGAAATAGCAGTTTCACTCAATCATTGATGTAGAGATTTCCTTCGACAGAACAAAATGACATTTTCGCGGACATGATAACATTATGAAAAATGCATTCTTATTACGAGAGAAATTTACGTCAGCTTTTGATTTAGTTGGTGATAATTTCACAATGTATTTGTTTGTGTTTGTTCGTATGAACGTTTCGGGCTTGACCATAAATTTGAAAATTGAAGGAAAGCCAGCCTCCGCAAATATTAAAGAATTTTATGATTATTGATGCATGGTGATATCAGGGTGATCAATTAGGGAACAAAACCGTGGTTTTCACCACGAAGTTCCGAATGGAATTCCTTTCGTCGAATAATCGAGACTGGTTAATATTAAAACCTTATTTTGTGCAAACTCATACAGCCAATACATGCCCATGTTACCTCACTACCCAACAATGATGGCGACCACGCTCATGCTACTTGGCTGTGGTGTTAGTGACGATACCCTTCTTACGGGATTTCATGTCATCTTTATTGAGTAATTGAGACAATTATAAACGCTCCGAGCCTTCACTCAGACCATGTATTCTGAAAATAGCAAGATGTGAAGGCTGTCATGAAACGAGACGCCCCGACTGTCAAAGATTAGTCATGTCTCTGAAGTTTAACGCTTTAAGATCAATATTAGATTTAACAGCAAGGAGCTCATTACGTAATTAAAGGTTCTGTCATCTTTGTCAGTGGCCGAAACGGAAGACAAGGACGTTTGGAAACATGCGGTCACACATCTTAACCGTGGACATGTTCGCTGAGGCATTCTTTACGACGTCTATCTTGAAGAGGACGTTCAGTTGGTGACAACGTTTCTGTGTAATGAGCAGCCCCTAATCTGGTGTGAATTTATCACAATTCTAATAGCTCCTGATCCCATGGGGACTTCTAATCTACCCTCGTCTGACGGGAGATGCGCCATTAGAAATTGAATTCATTATACACATGTAATTTATGACTGCCACTCATTAGTATTGCTTAGGACGAATTATTGTGTACATTACGACAATACCTCTAGGGGTCGACATGACCATGCTAAAAGGGGTCATTGTGACCCGGGCCTTGATTATCATCTAAAATTATAGTCGTAATGCCTTATCTGAATGTGGTCAATGAAATGACAGAACAAATTAAGACGTATTCGATCAGAGATTTATTATACCAGTGATATCAGCTGTGACTATGTGTCAAATGAACCGTTAATACAATCAGAGTTGATTCGGTTATGATGCTATTCATGTCCGTGTTAAGACAAATTTGTACAAAATGTTATCAATTCGGGTTTTGAAGTTATTGACGCTCTATATATAGGTACACATTATTTTGTGTTTGCGTATTGCCTGTAATAGAGCACTTTCTTGTGTTTCTTCGGAAACATCTCTACTGTTTCTTGAATTTCCCGTCGATATGGATTCCAGGTATGATAGGTCGCTAGTGTCATATGCAAGTCGTAGAAGGAGACTAAAATGAGAATCGGCAGGTCAAATAGTGTGGCTAGTTGTCTGTCATCGTAGTCTGACTGCGTTGATCATTGCTCGTAATGACAACCTCAGGTTTGTCTGGGTTACACGGTGCTATTTGCAGACAGTCGTGATAAAGCTATAATATATGTACAACACGCACGGGTTCGCTCGCTCCCTATCACTCACTCACTCACCCAACATTCACTCATCAAAAGCTGTGTACGTTGAATCGCTGATGACTCACTATTGGCAACAGAAAAACCCAGACAATTAGAGGTTTATTCATTATGGCTCACAAAGTCTGCGTGTTCGTGAAGCGCGACGGGGCTCCAAAATCTACGGATGATGATGAAACCATATCGCCATGCCTACTCAGCAAGAAATCAAACCATTGTAGCCATGCACTGGCTGGTATCACTTGCATACCGTTTACATTGCCGATGTAGACTTCACGCTGAGTACAGAACGGCACAGGTTTACAACAGTTTTCATTTAAATTCTGTCCCTTTAAATCAGTAATCAGCCAATGATAAACTGACGAACAAATGCTCGGCGGTGATCCTTAACTGTCAGTGTGTGCTCATAGATTGGTCCAGGTCTCTTTGTAACACCATATTTCTGTTTATACAGAGCTGAAATCTAAACCGATGAATACAGTCCTTCTGTTTTCGTCAATATCCGTAGTTTGGTGATGAGGATACATCTAAATACCTCAAAGATGAAGATGATGCTTCTTACTTATCTTGGGCGGTCGGGTAGCCTAGTGGTTAAAGCGTTCGCTCGTCACGCCGAAGACCCGGGTTCGAATCCCGACATGGGTACAATGTGTGAAGCCCATTTCTAGTGTCCACGCCGTGATATTGCTGGAATATTGCTAAAAGCGGCGTAAAACCAGACTCACTCACTCACTCTTACTTATCTTTGTTTCTTCTTTATCCACAAACTAAGTGCTATGCCAGCTATATGAGGGCGGCCTGTAGATAATCGAGTCTGGGTCAGACAAACCAGTAACTGATATTATGAGCAATGTCTCATGTCGTCGAGGTACAAGGATACGCAATCAATCATGTCACCGAGCCTGACCAACCGATCCATTTAGTCGAGTATTACAAGCATAGATTACTGGAGACCAGTAGTCACCCGGCATCCCCAGGGGGATCTGTATGTCTGAGAAGGACCTCTTCCCTTGTTGAACCTTGAGACTGATTTTGGTCCTCGGAACGGACCATTCCTTTGGCATGTCATGCGAAGTAAATGAAACGCTTCTCTGTCCATAAAGTATAGCAATCAGGCCTAAAATGATCTTCCTTCAGTGGCCTCAAACGAGGATGTAACGTGTTCAAATATCTATTACGATAACAGATGAAATTCGTCAAAAAATAGATTTTTGTCGGTAAATGGATTTGGCGTTATCAAGCTTTCAAACTAAACGTAATCATCCCATCCAATATGTGTGATTGCAAATTCTAGCTCTCAAATGAATCGATCCCTTGGTTACAGTTTCCGTTTCTGAAATGACGAAAAACAAAATACAAATAATTCAAGCTTCCTGCGAAGCCGTTACGCGTGTAGTGCTTGATTGTCATTATAGCTGATGTCCTTCTCCTCAACCGGACAGAGTAATATCATGCCACCCACTGGAGATTTGACATCACGCCTTGATCATTTGAACGAAAAAAATTGAGGCTGAAATCACAGCTCATATTCAAAAAGGCGGCATGACATTTGAGAAGTTACCATGACATCCCTGTCATGCCTGGTGTGTCTCTTTCCGATTTTTTTTTCTAAAAAAACCAACACATTTATGAGAATTTTGACACTGATGTGAACCGTCCATGGAATTCGACAAACGAAGGGAACTGCTGTTATATATCCGAGATATGTTTATTCTCTATGTCCCCTCAACAAACATTGATTGTCATGACAATGTGTTGTTATGTACAGTGATATTTACATCATGTTTATACATCCACACAGTTTGGGCTCACAAACATTACAACAAAGAAACCCATCTGCACCAATATCCTTGCACTTACAACATGATTCATGAACGTATGAAACATACAAAACAATGTTTCAGTGGAACGAGAAGTACATTTTGAATTCTTCAAAACGAGTGACATAGTCATACCACCGTTGTATATGTCAATATCCAATATTTCTAACAAAGATACATAGATGCTTAAGCTTGTAATCAGGAAAATTAAATTTGTACACGATTGATTCTACTAAATGGAGATAAGAATTGGGAATGGGGGGCTTAGCGGCAAATGTAAACATATGTACAAGTATTGGTCAGCAGAGACAGCTTTTTAACGATAGCCTCCCCCAAATAGCACGGTTTGATATGGCTGCAGCGTCACATGCATAGTTTAAATGTAGGGATAAAGCCAAATCCCCAATCCTAATAACCATTTGTACGTTTCAGTTCTTCATTCAAAATATACTTCATCGCTCCTTGAACTATTCAACATCCTCGATCTTCTAATCGATAACAGAACAGACTTGCGAGTTTTCCGTAAAAAACGTTAACAGGGTCAGATTTCGAGTTGGATCATCTGCAGTTGGTACTCAATATTTACTAATATTTCAACGTATCGAACAAATCTTACGAAACAATATTAGTTCAAGTTGTTCTCATATTGGGCAAAACAGTTACTAGTATATGTAATAAATATATCTAAACTTTGTTATCATGGTCCGATTCTTGACCAGATTTTGTCATTCATAATTGTCCGAGCAGAACTGTGTTTTGTAACACATAGAAATATTTAAGATTCTCTAGCACTTCTTTATAAAAAGCAACATCAACCGAGGCAACATATTTTAAAACATCACCAATTCCTTCCTACTCCTGTACAATTCGTGTTGTTTACGCAGGAATCTGAAGTTATGCAAGTAGAAAAAAAAGCACAGTTTTCCGGAGATTATTGCAGTACTTGACAATACTGAACACCACCGTGTGGGTCGTTAAACACAAAAGTTGAATAAACCAAGATAGGAACGTTCACTTTCTACCATCGGAGACATGAATATCCATGAAGTTGTTCAAGATGAAACGTAATCATTCCAAACACAAACATGTCCCGAAGGTTCCAGGCAAGAGTTGCTTGATAGTCAGTATAATACTGTGGATATTCTGGAATACACCTGTTATTCAACAGTGCAATACAAAAGCACGTGCGTGCACCACTGACTGAAGGTATTGCATGTAGTACGTGCAGACATGACTCACACACTCGCACGTGCGCGCACAGAAAGACAATGGTGTACAATAAATTGTTTGGGATGATATCGGGGCACACATACACATACAAGTACCCTGTCACCTTAACCGTCCTGCACTCATCAGCCAAACCATCGTTCAAAAGTTATCTGTAAGTGAGTTCCGGGGGACAGAAATAGTGTGGATGCAAGGCAGGAATCTGTCTCCTCTGAGACCCTTCTCTGTAGCTGTGTCTGCTGTCGTGGGAGGAGGTACCAGATCCTGGACGCCGTCGAGATCGCTGCCCTCCTCGAGCCTCCCTTCTCGACATACTGGAATCATCTATATCAAAGCTTTCCTGAGGGCTACCGTATGGAATGTCTCTCTCATGACGACTATCATGGCGTCCATCGTGTCGATGGAAGTGCCGGATCGGCAGGGTTGTCTGTGTGCCTCGGTCACTGTATATCCCATCGGAGCTGTACCCTTGCGAATTGTAGCCGTGCTCCTGACATTCGCAGTAAGCGGAAACGTCTCTAGAATGTCTGGACAGACGGTCATCACGGATAGAGTCCGAGTCTTCTATGTACTCGTATATAGGAGATTTATCACTGTTGCTCTGGCTAGCAGTGGACGGTGTGTAATCTCCTTCCAGTTTGCGATAGTTTGTGAAGGTGTTGCTGACGGGAAGGCCCATCTCTGGGCGCACCTGCCCGTACGGACGTTCCCCTGGAGGTAAGGGAGGGTACGGCTGTTGAAACTGGTCCCCATTCAAAACTCGGGTCTCCATTCTACTCCCACGGAGTGTTGTCTGAAAAAGAACATACGGATACCTTTAAAAACACAATCAATAAGATGGCTTTGACATATATTTGTGATTCATATGCCCTACTTCATAATGGTAAAAGCTTTCTCCAACTTTGCAGGTTTCTCAACCACGAGATTGAACAAGCCGAAATAACCATAGCGACGTTCGTTATTCATCATTTTCGTTTAGAAAATTGACGATATTAATCAATCAATATGACAAAAATGGGATGCAAACATTACTCTATTATGCCTTGAGATTCTCATTTTGGAACATGCTCCAGTAACCAAATTTACGAATCTTTCCCCGCAGTAATTAGGTCCGAGTTTATAACCTTAGGATATTATAGTTATGAGGCAATATGAAACAGCCTTTCAAATGTTCATCTCAATAAACCTGTATGAAACCGTGATTTACAAATCCAAATCCCCCGCTGACTGTAAATGTCAATAAACGTTACGAGATGACAGTTGTGTGTTTACATTGCTTCAATCAATCAAACTAGCATTGAACGTTTAATGGGAGATGCGGACAAGTATCTAATCTGTTTACATTTCCTTCTTGAAGACATTGTACGGTTATTTTATTATGTGATTGCAAGGCTGGGGGAAAGATTATGACTGTCTTCAAGTAACAAAGAAAAGCTGTGAAGGAAATGATTCATTCAAGAATTTGCTTAATTAATTGATGGATGGACAATGAGACCCACGATGAATCATTTAGCTGTGGGTTATCTGTCAATGGTAGCTTTGTCCCTTATCATAATTAACCATTTAAACGTCAAACTCATTTGTATTGAACATGTATGGTTTTGGTTAGCGCAAATGAAGATTTGTTTATAGGGCATGTTATGTGAATGACAATGATGTGAGATTTTACATTGGGTGCGAGGAATCCAATGAAAATTTAATCATTTGACATTCGGAGCTATCAAGTCGATGGAAATAATCGTTTATGCTCAATAAAGAATATCTGGGCTCAGCCTTTTCTGGAAAAATAGCCAATTAGGTCTCAATGGACCAGGGGACAAATTTTGTAACATAAATCAAACTTGGCCAACATATACACCATGACCAACATTACTATCTCTATGGAACCGTTTTAACGGTATAAATATTTATACATATTAGATACCTTTTTATATATTTACATTCTGATATACCAGCAACCTACAAAATCAATAGAGGTTGAAACGACAGCCAACTGTTAATATAACGTCATTATTACTTACATGTCCACATTAATTGCAAGAGAAGATCATCTTAAATAGTATTGATACATCGTACCGGTAAGGGTCGTAATGGCAAGTTGCTAATGCAAGAGCGCCAATGCACTTGATATTTCAGTTCATAAGGGGTTAACAATGTCTTCTGTCTGATTAGCACCGAGGATCAAGTAATTAATAGGATTGATCTCTTTTTCTCTTTGGAACAGACAACTCCTAAAACGTACTGTTTAAAAGAGGGGCGTGAAATGCATATCAGTAATCGAGTTTAGCGTACGACCTTGACAAATAACTAAAGCCATGTAGGGATAGTTATAATTCGATGAAATATCTCTACTCGGAGTCTTGCGTGTGTGGTTCAACGCCGCTAAAAACTGTATTTCAGTTATTTCACGGCGTGTCAGATCAGTGAGGGATAAAAGCAAGAGCACCAAGTTTTAAGACTGTGGGATACCCACAAGACGGGTATGGTGCTGATAAAACAAAGATCATAATCAGGGCGATTCTGTGGTTCGTATCCACGATCAGCGGATCCTGACATGATAAAGGGATGTAACTCTACAACGCCTTTGGCCACTGGGAAATGCGTGCCACTCGCCATCCACCACCCACCACGGGTAAGACAGAGGCTCACTACGCCATAGTTACGATAGAACAAACATGCCAACTTGGGCTGAAAGTGTACCAGTTTGTATCTCGTGTGATAGTGTAATGTTGTAGAGTTTTTCCTCTTTCGATTTGTTTTGCTTCCTTTATCGTTTAACCGGTAGCACGCCAGTTGTATTAGATTTTGAACATCCCTCAAGGTTTAACAGTTGTAATTCTATTTTATATAAAGCATATGTGTGCTGATTCACGGAGATGTCCCATGAATAAATACCAGCCCATCTTACAATTTATTCTGTGCATTGACAGTTATTTTAGAGCTAACGATAACAAATAGCACAATTATTCTCGGTTATGTGCATTCTTAGTCAGTGACGAAGACCATGCACTTTGACGAGTGTTAATATCGTTGTTTACTGAAGAGCAAATTAGATTTTCAATATGACTGCAGAATATTTAATGTAAATTTCACGTTTTGTCGACATACGACAGCTCTTTGGCCATTCTCCATCAACGTTAATTCCCTACACGCCGACAGATTACGTCACGGAAAATGGCTGGCACGAAATTTATTTGTGCCAGATATAACGTCTATATCAACTAAAAGAGTCATTCAGACAATGCGCTTCTGAGCAATTAGCTCACCTCTACTTGTCGCGGCACAACGGGTGCCGAGGCGTAGTGACAACTCGTGTAATATCGGCTATCTCCGGGATTTAGCGCCGTCTGGTGGCTTGGACTTGAGGGAGATCGAGGTTTCTCTTTTTGTTTTCTGAAATAAACAAAACATGTTTGAGAATCATACCCATAACATTGCAACATCTGATAAATTCTTTTCTGGATGACACAAATCTCATATAGTCATGGAACTATGGCCTTTTGTTATATACATATATGGTTTAAGGAATCCATTTAGTGATTCCCAAAGGCTGGCAGATCTAAAGTAATACGTGAGCTCGCCACGTCACAGTGTTATTCCCACTTTGCACACGGCACCAGTGTTACAACAACCTCTACAACGTCTTGATCGAACGTACACAGCAAAACAACGTCTCACTGGTTTAAAACAGTTCAATAATTAAAGCCTTGTTCTATAGCTACCTTGAAGTAATTTGAGGCGTGATAATAATGCCTAACGTCATAACGTAACACTTTCGATGTAAACGCTATAATTTTCCTCCTCTTTCGCGTGTAGTTGTTAAGATTTCCTTTCGACAGTGGACCTTTCTGGCAAACGTGTCGTCATGTTTCCGAAGGAATTCGAATTCAAATCACCGTTACTTCAAACTGAACCTACTCTGTTGTATTTCTGTTTGATTTGCGTTTAAGAAAAGCGCGTGTAACGTCCATCCCATGTACTCATTTTGAAATTAAAACCAATGAAAACATGAACACGCAGCCACCGCATGGCTAATTCTTTCACCACTCGACATCACTTCAAAAGGGTTTCAACGAATGTCAGAACATGACAGTATCTCATAAAGCTTAACCCCAGCATTACCGCAACATCCCTTCAAGATGCCAGCAACTGCTGTAGTCTACCGTTGGACTTGAGTTCTTACTAACGAGGTAGGAGTGTAGGTGGGAACAGTTATTCCTCGTTAGAGGGCCGAACAGGTGATCATTAGGTCGCTAACGACGGTTTTTATCACACCAAGGATTCCGTGCAGTGAATTATCGCTAATTTAGACAGAGGGTGTACCAAATTCAGCTCATAAAGACGACGAACCCTTAGAGTGAAACGGACGACAATTCATCATGCACATCTTGCATCCAGGAAGTGTACTGTAAGATGCATTTTAGGGGTTGAACCAGATGTGACTGCATCTGTTTTCGTGTAAGCCAGATTCGTTTGTCAGTTACTTAACGCCACACATGGCGCTATTCAAGCTATATGGCGGCTGTCTGTAAGTAATCGAGTCTGGGCCAAACTAGTGATTGATATTATGAGACACGTTCCACGCCGTCGGCGTATGATGAGCACTCCTGACGTGACCACTCGAAGCATTCAGTCACCCCTCACGACCAGCACAGGTTGCTTGGGAAATATTCTGACCCTGAATCTCCACTTGGTAAGCCAGAAGAGCGTCACAATAGTCTATCCAGTGCCATATGTTCATTTGGAAACGGGTGTAATATGAGTGAAACCGGCATATTGAAGGGAAAGTAAAATCATCACAGCAACTCAGCAGATGTTTATACTTTAGTGAACATTTAATCACAAATGCTTGACCGAAATACAATTTGAAAATCGAAAATAGCGTATTAAGGACGATAAACAACTAAACGTTAGATAGTCGCCTAAACGAAAATCCCCTACCTGGAGGTTAAAACGGGTTCCCGCTGTGACGCGCTGCGCAATTTTAACGACTCAGATCATCGGGCCGACGCCCAGTATGCCTGTTTCAACCTTGGATTGTTTTATACATGTCTTTGTCTGTCTACTCATCCATTTGATTACTGTGTCCACAACTTATGTCACCTTAGTAACAACACTGGAGATGCTTTCAGTAGTGTACTCAGGAGATTAATCCCTGACGGGCATTTATGGTGTCGAGGGCCGAGGGCAGCTGATGTTTTATTACCAAAACAGGAAGTTAGGAATTAAACGCTAGTTTCCGATTGTTAATTGTTAGTTTAATCATTCACAATGTCCAGATCAAAGGTCGTTTCACACATCGAACAATGTATGCAATGTCGTTATTTTTGTAGGATTAACAGAAATAGCAGACGCAGTATATATGTATTACGGCTGAGAATCACAAGATGGACAAACGCAGCCAATGAAAACAGTTGTCATCGCTGCGCTGGTCGCTTTAGACGACGCCCTAAAATAGTTTTTTTTAATAAAAAAACGATGACTGAGCGTGTGATTTCAGCACTTTCACTTGGACATTTAAATACATTCAACACATATTATGATTTTCCCTCTCTCGGAATTTGGCTAAATGTTTCTAGGAAAATTTATATTGGTATCCAAACCGTAAACATTTGTTTCACTTTACTTGTCCGCTAAGCGTTTTGAACTAAATGGGTATGGTGTAAGGTACAAAGTGAGAGTTGACGGAACAGATAGCATTATTCCCAAGAATATAGATACAGAGGGCGCCGCAAAGAATAGGTTTGTATTGTACCCCACTAGGAATCGTACTCGCGCCATCGGAATCACGAAGGTTTTCATAAGTGAGCTAAGCAAGAAAGGTAACGCGATGACAGGGTAAGGAGGGTTAGATGGCTTTGGAAACATCTTACAAACACAGGGGGTATAGGACATTGAAGTTTTATTTATGATCGTACATCTAATGAACCATTAACGTTTCTTCTGTCACTGACATACATACATTCAATCTCCTTAAAATCAGATACAAGTTCTCGCTACCGCAGAGGACATCCCAGTACAGGTCACGTCAGAAAAACCTTTCACAAACTATGACCGACAGGAAGTCTATATTAGCCACTCAGAAAGCAGCTTTCTTGAGCTTTGCGGTACCAGTTTCAAACTGGCGATTTCCATTCCAGACTATGCTTTTTAAATCAGTCATACAGTCCGTAACAGTTGTTTTGTGTTAATCTTTAGGGGTTGCATGGATAGAAAACATATTCCGCTAACAGTAACATAACAATCTGAATATTTCATTTTTCATTTATTTATTACGTGTTTGTATCGTTATCTATCGTGTAGTGATCATGAACGTCGATACTATTTAATTTCGTTTATCCGACATACTCGTTAATCCGACATAACCATATGCAACCAACTATGTCGGATTAACGGGACTTGACTGTATATAAACAGTTCGAGGATATATAAATTCACATGCATTACCATCACAGATATTCCTCAGTGAGCTGTCAACACCGATGTGGCGTTAAATGTTAACTCACTCACTCATTACTCAACACCCATTAAGATGAAGCACGTGTTGTAGGCAGAAACAGACCTTTTGACAGTTTTCCGTGGTATAGATGTATCTTATTACAAGGAAGCTTCCAGGGAAATATTAACATAAGCGAATGTGTCACTTTTATATAGCGGAATTTCCAAGCCCATAAGCAGATTTCGGCGGCTTGGGAATTCCTAATGCTCCATTAACACGACAGTTTGTATGCAGAGCCGCGGTGACATCAAATTTAGGATTCACTTGTGTCTAATAAAATACGAAAGAGGCCACACAAGAGCTGAGAAGAAAGATTAAAACGAATGGAGATCGAATTAAAATATCTCTCCTGCAGATTTTCCAAAATGATGTAATGTATTATTATGGTCCTTTCGGCAAGACATGGATTATATTTATTAGTCTTAAGAGGCAAAATTATGACCAGGACAGGGTGTGAATTTCCAAAAGCATTAAGAATTTAATGAGTTCTTGTTACCAGCTTAGAAGTATTTTGCATTTTACTCGGCTTAACAACAAAGGGACGATTCACTTCAAATGCAAGAGGGTGATCTGGAGTGCACATTTAATGGTTTATATTGCGTTGACAATTCTTCTCTAAGAGAGGCAAAGTCGTTGTATTGAAGCTCACGTTAAACCTCTGGTGAAACCGAAACTTCTTCAAGAGGAAGCAGTGGAAATGTATCCTGCGTGGAGAACCTCATCGCATATAGAGCACGGATACTCCAAATTTAGGAGGCATGGTTGGCGAATAAAAACCTAACAAGCGCTATACAGGAACTGCAAACGTTGAGATTTATTGCAAAAAGCGAGGCCGCTCTTTTCCGCTACGATGTCCTCCAAGCTGGGGCATGACAGATTTATTGCAAGAACGTCCAACGCAACACTTAGCTATTTTCTCACAGTGAACCCGAGCGGAAATATTACGCCAAGAGGCAACGTCTCTTAGTTCTAACATGGATGTCATTACTGCATAGACCATGTATATTGCACAGCGGTTGTCGCCGTGTCACTAACCGAGCAGAAGCTGAATGGGCTATAGCGTTGTCGATAGCAGGCACCAGTGAAAGATACATGATTCTGATGGACAAATTTCAATGGAGTTTAATTTGGGTAGTGACATATACATGAGTTAATGGCAAATAACGTGCATAAAAGCATCCGAGGGTAATTATTCTATTACCAGACCGTGTGTATAGCGGGAACGTTTGTGATGTGTCAGGAAAGGCTTAGATGCTTGGCTTGTCCATTATTTGCTTCGATATACAGCGGGCGAGAGGAAAACGTTGATGAAAGAACTGATATATCCACATGGGGTTACATGAAACTAATATAAATACTTCAAAGACCTGCATTAATGGTCAAACTTTATTGGCAGTGTTATCACAAATTGTCTGTATTGAACCATAACAGTACATGGTTAATGTACAGATGGCTAAGCCCAGAAGCTGTTTGTTCTGTATGTCATACATACGAGACGTCCTTTCTTGGATTGGGGCTTTTATGTAATTATGTTTCAAATATAGAACGACTAAACAAACAAATAGAGTTTAATGAGAACACAAATACAGAGTTGTGGCACTTAGCCGTGATTATGATAAATGGTTCGATAATGACCCCGATTATAATCCTTGGCGTGTCACCACAATGTCCATGCTCGCTTCACCAAAGTGGAAAACATGTACATTCTGCTTTCCTCACAAACTAAGCGGACGCGTCATTATACACCAGAAATACTGTTCAAACCGACGTTACACGCTACTCACTCACAGTCTGTCATAGTCATAGTCATTCCTCGTTCTTTTTTTTTGATCACGATTACAATGTATACGTTACATTGCATCAGCGAGTGAGTGAGTGAGTTGGACTTAACACC